TTAGGTTTTCCTCAATCAAAATAGACTTCCAGCAAATATTTATTAGGAAACAGTCACACAAGCACAAGAAACATACACTCCCTGGGGAAGAAAGGGTTTTTTAAGCAATTATATTCTGAAAATCACAGATAGCTCATAAAGTCTGTTTGGAGTCTGTCTGAAAAGTATCACATGTAATGGTGTTGACAAACGTCGCTTGGCTTGCCAAATAGGTCAGAAGATTGAAATTCTGGAATGTTCAGAATCTGGGTATTATTTATGTTTTTCTGTCCGCATGGCAAGGGAGAAAGAATATCGAGTTTAAAAACACAGAACAGATTTAGCAACATCCGTCTGAAATTTGCAGGACCCTAACTAAGATACCTACATACTAGTCTAAAACATACTGCTTTTTTGTAGCATGTGGCTAAGTATCCCTCAGGAAAACATGCAGAGAAAAATATCTTGTGTAATATTGGTACTAAGCTTGATTAGCTTGATTACCAAGCTAATTCTGCTTCCATGACACTGTACAATGGAAAATATTCGAAGGTTCCATGCAACTACAATTCTTGCTAAAGCTAATTCTGCCTGTCAAACTAGTTAACTAGTTTGCTGAGGGTTTTTTTTTAGTATTCCAAAAGCCAGTTAAGCAATATTTAATATGTATTTTGTGAAAGTTCATTTGCAATCAAATTGCAAATTTGATTTGCAACTTATCATTTAAGATCTAAAATGACTGTGCTCATTTTGTATCAGTAATACTTTTTAAATAACTGAAAGCACTTGAAAAATTAAAGGAATATACTTCAGTGCTTGACTTTCTTATACCTCATATACAGCCAAACTGTTCCTTTTACAAGAGGCTCAGAAGATGGAATTAGTCCAAAGCAGATATTCTGACATAACTGGATATTTTGTGGCAAAGTTGTAAAGAGCTTGCAAATGCCATGAAGTCCAGCACTAATGGTACGTGTATGTCCACCTATGCATTTGCTGCTAACTTTGAGTTCATATTTTCTGACATTTCACTTTTAAAAGCATTTAACAGGACTTCATCTACCAATTTCCAGGTGTATTTCCTTTTTAACCAAATTTTCCTATCTCATCTTTGGCTACAACATTCAGAGAAGATATGATTCACAACTTTCCACCTCCAATACAATTTTTTCATACATTCACATATTTAGACAAATCTTAGAAGAAATGTATTTCTGTTTATAAGTCACTGTGGCCTCTCTTGTTTGAACAGTATTTTACATGCATTACAGGTGAAAGATGATCTGTAATTGCACTTGTAAACAACTAGGACCAGCACAACATAAGAAACAGGACTGCAAGCATGACTGCTCATGCTTCTTTTTTTCTACAATGGCCTCAAAGTTAGACTGATGGCTCTCTGGGCTTTTTGCCAAAACCACACACTAGATTAAAATAGAAAGAAGGGAAACAGGCAACCTGGGGTCCAAAATTTAATTCTGACCTTATGTATAAGCTCTATGGGAGGTTTGGGCAAAGCAGAATGTTAATCTACCATATAAGGGGGGCACAAGGAAACTCAAAAAAACCTGAAGAGAAAAAGAATGTATAAAATCTCTTCTCTATCGTGTGCACATTTTGGTATTTTGAAACCATCGATCTTGAAAAATAATCAAATCTTCATGTATAAACATTATGTTATTCTCAGAAAGTAACTATTTAATGTGCATTTTAGTTATATGTCCACAGCCCTCTTTCTTTCAGCATGAGACAAACTATTTTTTATGGCTTTAACCCACTTTATTCAAACCATGGACATTTATGTTTCCTAAATTTGGGTTTATGGATCTCACTAACTATGAAATATGGATAGTATATCAGAAAGCAGATTTCACAGAATCACTGAACCACAGAATGGTAGGGGTTGGAAGGGACCTCTGAAGATCATCTGGTCCACCCCCCCTGCCAAGGCAGGATCACCTAGGGCAGGTTGCACAGAACGTGTCTAGTCGGGTTTTGAACGTCTCCAGAGAAGGAGACTCCACAACCTCTCTGGGCAGCCTGTTTGAAAGTGAAGGCTGAAAAGACCTCTTCATCATATGAGGAAAACCGGCTCTGTTTACATTTTCCTCTCATACTTCACAGTGGAAGTTAAGTTTTCTTCTGCTAAAGCATATTTGCTAATGGACTCTTTTACAGAGACAAAACAATTTTTTTTTTTAATCAAATCAGGAGTAAAGGAGTATTTACAAGGAGTAAACACATTTTCTACCTTTAAAATAATAATATAGTGTTAAGTCCAAAATTGCAACTGAACAAATATTTTCGTTAAATTTTGCAGATGCTAAGTTTAACGTAACTTGCTTGAAAGCTCTGTTGTTTCTTGGGATCATGTTTTGATTTCTCAGTGGACAAGAAAAAAGTATGGTAAACAGATTAAACTTTGTTCCTCTGTCTTCCGACTACAAAACCCATATATTAATTAGCTACATACTAGTGTAATCCATTGCACTTGGATCCTCCACTGATTTTAAACAGAAATACCTAGAAAATTAAGCTATTAAATACCTATCAATAACCTATTTGCCACCTATTAATACAGCTTAAGGGCAGAACTCAATTTTGTAAAACTATTAAATAAACCATAGTAATGAGTAAAAACAGTTTAAGCTACTCTGAGATGGAATCTTGAAAATGAGATACTTTAATTACAATACTCAAAATGCCTGCTTTATTGATCATTATTTTTACAATATTTATATAAGATATTCTATTAGTTTAGTCTCCTGCCCTTCCAAGAGAAAATTCACAGGACATTACCAAGTTCAAATACACACCACAGTTCAGAAACACAGAAACAAGAAACAGACCATTTTTTACTCTTCCTGTGAAGTGAGATTAATCTCATACAAATCTTCAAATCGATCCTCGTGCTGTCACAAAATTACAGGTGGCTTATATATGCAGGAAAAAAAAAGTATTTTTATGGCAATTGATACAACAGAACATCCTCTCTTGATATAGCTTGAGAAGTCAAGATACACAACAAAGTGAGAAACAGCAACTCTCCACTCGGAGATCCAAGTCATTAAAACACAGGAAGAGAGGTTAATTTGAAGGCAACAGAGGAAAGTTTTGAAACTCTTACTCACCTATTCACCTCAGAAGGGAAA